GCGAAACCTACCATAGTACGGTTATCACTGATATCATTTAACAATGTCTTGAAATTTGGAGCATCATAAGTATAATTACCACTCTTCAAGATAATTCCCTTCCAAATTTGCCCAACGAAGGTATTATCACCGACCTGTTGAGATACTTCAACATCAGCACCTCCCAGGACACGAGGTTCAACAATTGATACGTACGCAAGTTCGTTCCCATTATCTGCTCTCTTTTGTAATTCGTGTAGCAAATAACTGAATGTAGTTAGCGCATGGGTGGAATCTTGATCCGCTTTCATGCCCTGGAAAGCGGCCCATGGAGAAATTCTAATAGCTAGCTTTTTTGCACCAACAACCGTAATTAAATGGTCAATCAATTCTAAAACGAATCTTGCTCTGTTCTCGATACTACCGCCATATTTATCAGTTCTTTGATTGCCAGCCGGCTGCAAAAATTGGTCAAGTAAATATCCGTGAGCTGCGTGAAGTTCAATATAATCGAATCCAGCAGCCATCGCTTTTCTAGCCGCATTCGGGTATGTTTTGTAAATGAAATCATGGATTTCGTCTTCTGTTAAAGCTCTAAGTGGATTTCCAGCAGCTTCGGCTTTCTTTTTAAAATCCTCATCTGGATATATGGCTGATGGTGCAACATAATCTAAACCACGATCCTTTAACAATTGCGGATCACCAACTCTACCCAAAAACCAAAACTGACTTGACATGAAAGAACCATTTTCATGGACTCTGTCAGTGATTTTTTTCCACCCTTGCGCGTGTTTATCATTCCAAATACCTGGAACATAACCAGCCGGTTCAGAATTCCAAGCACTTGGAACCGTACCGTTTAAACCTGCTTGTTCAGAAACAAACGTAGCCTCAGCAATTAATAAGGATCCTGGATACCTAGATCTTTCGCCGTAGTATTCTAATTCCAAATCTGAAGGTGTGTGGTCATTTAAGGCTCTCAATCTGGTAGTTGGCGGATAAACCACTTTGTTTGATAAGGTGTGTTCACCAACTTTTAAAGACTTAAACAAGTCTGTATCTTTTAATGCTGCAATTTGGACACCGCTCATTGTATTATGCTATATGAATAATCTAGTAAAGGTATAAATGGATTAACTCATCAGTATTTATACATCTGAAATTGCAACCTATATTAGTAAGAAGCCATATACCAAGAGAAATGAATGCAGTAATCAGCGAATCGTGCGTTTAATACTGGGACGCTTAGTAATAAACTTGTTTTATTAATCCGAGCCGATTTTGCATCGAAGCCGAATTGAGAATCTTGCTGCATTTCAATAGCTAATAGTGGTTTAAACCTTCAATTATCTGATTTAATTCCAAAGTGGGCTGCTATACTCCGGATTCTATCATCTCATTGTTTAACTTCGAGAGCATTTTATTCACTATTAAGTTTAGTTAAATCACGGTATTCATACAAAATTCGGGAGTGATGATTTAGGGAAGCAATATTATATTATGGTATTGGATATATTGTAGATGATTGCCGAAAGTTGATGTTAAAACGTGGATTACATATATAGAAGCTAATTACAGGAAGCATTGTCTAAATGTATAACTTGTGTTTAAAATAAATGTTTAAGCAGTAATTCCTTGGATTGGGATTTAACCGTAAACATCAATAATCTCCCTATCTGCTTGGTTCTTACAATAGGTTGCATATGCCTTCTCGATGTTCCTGAGATATAACGGTGTATCTCAAGAAAAAAAGAACCCTACTAGTTGTAGGTAACCAGTATAACCTAACGGACACCTTAATAGTTAACGTGTTTCCACCAAACTCTGACATGTCTACAAGCCCTATATAAAGAATGAAGTCCCTAGAGAACACAGTGAAATGGTTAATAGAAATACAGTCAAATGAAATCAAAATAATAAATACAATCTATTGATAATCTATAAAATCGTCTAATTAAAGGCCTTGTCGAATTCGGTGAAGACGAATCTATATCTAACATCACCTTCGTCACACCTAGTTAAAGCAGTACCACAGCTTTCAGCGGTAATTGGTACTTCTTCAATCCATGGCTTAATGTTCTTTTCAGCCGCTAATTGCAACATATATAAAGCTTCTTTCTTGGAACCAAGTAA